TGGGGGGCGGCGAGGCTCTGATACCATGTAAAGAACCCCAAAAGCTAGCTCAAAGGGTGGGAGTGCTCAAGGCCTTATAAACTCCACATTAATTGCACATACAACCAATGTGAGACTATATATCTCAACACGCCCCCTCACACAAGAGCCCATTGGGCTTGAAGAGTGGATGATGCAACAGGCTCAGCCTACCTTTGCTAAGAAATTCCACAAGAGAAAGTGGGGGACGGCGAGGCTCTAATACCATGTTAAGAACCAACTTGAAAAAGGGTATTCTAATATATTATAGAATTGTAAATTATATGTACAAAAGGGTTCTCTATTTATAGAGAATACACGACCTAGAATACTTGACCTAATGGGCTAAGCCCAATACAACAAATAACAAATAAATAAATAATAATATTTACAACAATTTACAACACTCCCCCTCAAGCTGAGGAATAGATATTTATCATTCCCATCTTGCTAGTAAGTTCTTGAAATCTGTCTGAAGGAAGCCCCTTTGTTAATATATCAGCTAATTGACGCCCAGTGGGAATGTATGGAGTGGTAATCAACCCGCTATCAAGTTTCTCTTTGATGAAATGGCGGTCGACCTCAATATGTTTAGTCTGATCATATTGAACTGGATTATGAGCTATACAAATAGCGGACTTATTATCACATAGCAACTTCATAGGTCCCTCACATTTTATTTTGAGATCATCATGTACAATTTTCAGCCATAGTAACTCACAAATGCCTTGAGCCATAGCTCGAAATTCAGCTTCTGCATTTGATCTGGCAACCACATCTTGTTTCTTACTTCTCCATGTCACCAAGTTACCGCAAAGAAACATGCAATAACCAGTGGTAGAACGACGGTCAGTCACGGATCCAGCATAATTAGCATCTGTGTAGACTTCTAAAGATAGATTGCCATCACGTCGGAATAACAATCCTTTACCAGGAGTACCTTTAAGATACTGAAGAATTCTCTCTACTGCCTGCATGTGTTTTTCCTTTGGATCGTGTATAAACTGACTGACAACACTAACAGCATAAGCTATGTCTGGTCTAGTATGGGCCAAATATATCAATTTCCCAACTAGCCGTTGATATTGTCCTTTATCAACTGGAGGACTCTCTTCTTCATAGCCCATCTTGTGATTCTGCTCAATAGGAGTATTAGAGGGTTTACACCCGAGCTTTCCTGCTTCTTTGAGAAGATCAAGAACATATTTCCTCTGGCTGATAAAAATTCCATTGCTTGAATGAGCTACTTCTATCCCTAGGAAATATCTCAGTTTCCCAAGGTCTTTGATTTCAAACTCAGAGGCAAGCCGTGTTTGCAGAATCTGTCTCTCCACAAAATCATCACCTGTGATAATAATATCATCAACATATACAAGGAGCACAGTAAGCTTCCCATTTTGGGAGTGCTTGAAGAAAAGAGTGTGATCTCCTTGACTCTGTCTGTATCCTAAGGTCATCATAACCTTAGTAAACCTTCCAAACCAAGCACGAGGTGACTGCTTCAATCCATACAAGGCCTTTTTTAATCTACAAACTTTATTTTCCCCCTTCACAGAATCAAAACCAGGCGGGATTTCCATGTAGACTTCTTCTTCTAACTCACCATTGAGGAAAACATTTTTCACATCAAATTGATTTACATCCCAATTGTAATGGGCAGTAAGGGATAACAAGATTCTCACTGTATTCATCTTTGCAACTGGAGCAAAGGTTTCTTCATAATCAATGCCATAGGTTTGAGTGTAACCTTTGGCCACTAATCGAGCCTTGTATCTCTCAAGAGTGCCATCAGAATTATATTTCAGGGCATAAACCCATCTGCACCCTACTGCTTTCTTTCCATTGGGTCTATCAATAACCTCCCATGTTTTATTTTTCTCCAAAGCATTCATCTCCTCTTGCATGGCTTGAGCCCAATTCCTATCTTTCAAGGCTTCATGTACTGATTTTGGGATTGCAATAGAATCTAGTGCTGAAACAAAGCTTTTGTGCTGCACAGAAAGATTAGCAGAGGAAAAAAAGTGGGAGATAGGGTATTGAGTACAAGAGGGATAGAAGGAACAAGTTTTCTTATGACAGATTTTTTTCCTTTTCTAAGAGCAATAGGTAAGTCATCAGAAGCAGAAGCAATGGTAAGTCATTAGAGATATCAGAAGAAATAGACAAATCATGAGAGGAAATAATATTAGAATCAGAAACAGGAGATTCAGGAGACTCAGAAGAAATAGGAGATTTAGGACTTACCAGTGGTTCAGACAATTGAGGTTGCTGGTGAGACAGTATGGGTTGTTTCCTCCTCTGATATACCAATTCAGGTGTCAAAATTTTCCGTATCTCAGGTGTATTTGAAGGTTCTGACACACCAGGAGCAGACACACTAGGAAGAGAGAAGATTGATCCAGACTCAAAGAAGGAAAGAGACGAGTCTTCTGAAGAACTGTTCTCCCCCTGACGATGAAGACCCAAGAAATAAGATTCAGATTCTTGAAAGGTGACATCCATAGAAACAAAAAAATTTCGACTTGGTGGATGATAACACTTGTACCCTTTTTTATAAGGGGTATAACCAAGGAAGACACACTTAAGAGCCCTAGGATCCAACTTACTCTGATGTTGTTTATGAACATGGACAAAGGCAACACATCCAAACACTCTTAGTGGAAGGCTCTGCAATATGGGAACAGAAGGAAAGAAGGAAGTCATGGAATGAATAGGACTGATATTGTTAAGGACCCGTGAAGGTAAACAGTTGATCAAAAAAGTTGCAGCTAACACTGCTTCTCCCCAATAAGAACTAGGAACAGATGTCTGGAAAAGTAGTGCTCTAGCAACTTCAAGAAGGTGACGATTTTTCCTTTCAGCAACCCCGTTTTGTTGAGGGGTATCAACACATGTGAGCTCATGAATCATACCTCTGTCTGAAATGAATTGTGACAAGCGTTGATTGACGTACTCAGTACCATTATCAGATCTGAGTCTTTTAATACCCTTACCAAACTGAGTCTCAACCATGTGATGAAACCGAATAAATATCTCTGGTACTTCAGACTTGTCTTTCATCAAGTATATCCATGTTACCCGAGTACAATCGTCAATAAAAGAAACAAACCACCTTGCACCTGAAACACTGTGCACTTTAGAAGGGCCCCAAACATCAGAATGGATAAGAGAAAAAGGTTTCCTGCTTTTAATAATGCTAGAAGGAAATGACACTCGATCGTGTTTTGCAAATTCACAAGCATCACAATGAAAGGTCTCAACCGACTTATTGAGAAACAGAGAGGGGAACATAGACTTCAAAAGACTAAATGGTGGATGCCCGAGACGCTTGTGATGGAGCCAAATCATAGACTCTGCAGTAGAAGGATGACGTGTCATTAATAACTGATTTTTGCTAGCATGGTATGGAAGGAGATGATACAATCCATCCTGTTCATTAGCAACTCCAATTGTCTTCTTCGTGGTAAGATCCTGAATAACACAATGAGAAGGAAAAAATGTGATAGAACAATTCAAATCAGTTGTAAGTTTTTGAGTGGAGATAAGATTAGTAGAAAGCTGAGGAACATAAAGAACATTTTTAAGAAACAAGGAAGGTTGAATTTGAATGTTACCAGAACCAATAACTGATTTATGGGATCCATCAGCTACGGATATAGTATGACTACCAACAGTAGGATGATAAGAACAAAACAACTCAGTACAACAAGCCATATGATCAGTTGCACCAGAATCCAAAATCCATGAGGTTTTAAAATCAGTGCAAGAAGAAAGAAGAGATATAGAACGTGTGCTCTTACCAGATAAGATCAAAGAACTATCATGCTCGGCCATTCTTCAATAAAAAAAGTTAACAACCAGCGATAAAATCAACCAAACAGAATATCAAATGACCTCCGATCAGAAAAATAATCACAGATCGAGACAGAAGACAAGGAGACGAGAAGAATGGTGATGGTCCGGTCCAAAAACACGGCCGCACGTGCCTCCACGCGTCGGAGAAAGGAGCTGCGTGTGGGCTTCACTTGCCGGGAAAGGGGCAGCGCGTGAGAGCGCGTGGAGGGGCTTCTCTAGCTGAGATTTTTCTGGCGTGGTCGTCCGGTGAGCTCGCACCTGTCTGTGGGTGGTCGCGGTTGAAAAGTCACCGGAAAGTGGTCCAAACGGTGAAGACAGATCTGATTGGAGGCGGTCAGAGGTGTTTGGGTTGTTTGTGGCGGAGGAATAGTGGTAGAATGATAGAACGGAGAAAAATAAGGTTAACAATGGTCCCCTTGGTCCAAAAGGTCCCCGGAAAAATTTTCCGGTGGCGGCTGATGGCTGCAAGAGGCAAAGAAATTAGGGTTTTGTTAAAAAAAGAAGATAATATGCGGGGAAGCAAAGCCCTCAGATCGAGAGCTTTGATACCAACTTGAAAAAGGGTATTCTAATATATTATAGAATTGTAAATTATATGTACAAAAGGGTTCTCTATTTATAGAGAATAAAAAAGTGAGGTGACCATTCGACTCAGAAGGATCCGACGAGTCGACCGCCGCTGGACCCATCGCCGTCATCCGCCGCCACGCGCCATCACATGCGCGGCCAGTCTCCGGCGCGTGAGCTCCACGCGCCGCCTTCCCGACGTCTTTTTCCGCCGCGACTTGCACAGACCTTCTCGCCGGCTTCTCCCCTTCCAGAGGTCAGATCAAAAATTTACAAAACTTGATTTTTCATCAACGGTCAACCCTTCTCTTTTTATTCATGGCTTCCTCAAAACACTCTTCTGCCTCCTCATCTGCCCCAAATTCTCAGTCCTCTGGAGACAACTTAGGTTTGCAGATCTCCAATCACCGGTTGAACGGTAAGAATTTTCTGCAATGGTTTGAATCGGTTAAGTTGGTCATCCGGGCAAAGGGTAAGATGGGCTATCTTGAGGGAAAAATTAAAAACCTATTGAGAATTCTCCTGATTATGACGATTGGGAGATTAATAATTCCTTGGTCATGGCTTGGCTGACTAATTCCATGGAACCACAGATTGGCCAAACCTATCTGTTCTTTGATATTGCCAAAGAAATTTGGGATGCTATTCAACAGAATTACTCCGATCTGGAGAATACCTCTCAAGTTTTTGAACTGAGAAATAAGTTGAGAGACTTTTGTCAAAGGGGTATGACTGCTACTGAATATTTTACTGCACTAACGAATTTATGGCAGGAATTGGATCTTAATTATGTATCTGATCTTAAGGGATTGGAAGCTAATACCCAATTTAAAAAACACTTGGAGAAGGAAAGACTGTATGATTTCCTTGCCGGATTCAACCGAGATCTTGATGAGGTTCGTGGTCGAATATTGGGGCAGCGACCGTTACCTTCACTTGCTGACGCATTTGCTGAAGTTCGTCGAGAAGCCAGTAGACGGAGAGTTATGCTGGGAGAAAAGGAGTCGCTTGATAAGTCTGATGATATGTCTGCATTAGCTGCCAACCGTACCATTGACCGTTCCTCCGGAGAATCAAAACGGGATGGTCGTCTATGGTGCACCCACTGCAATAAAATTGGTCATACCCGTGAGAAATGTTGGGAAATCCATGGGAAACCTGCAAATTGGAAGCCCAAAGGACAAAATAAAGGTCGTGCCTATCAGGTCTCTACTGATGACAAGGTTGATGAGCCTTATGCATCCTCTGACTCTGATGGTGTCTTTCTTAGCAAGACTCAGTTTGAACAACTTCAGAGACTTTTGACTCAACCTCCTAAGGCCACTAGTCATGTGGTCCAGCAAGGTACAACTTTCCATGTTGATAGTCAAAATCATTGGATCCTTGATTCTGGAGCCTCTGATCATAATACAGGTAATCTTGGCTTGTTTTGTTCATACACTCCATATGCTGAACCTTCTCGGGTCAAGATCGCCGATGGCAGTTTTTCCCAGATTGCGGGACACGGAACCATTAAACTTTCTGAGCTGATTACTTTGACATCAGTTCTTTATGTTCCTTCTCTGACTTGTAATCTCATTTCCATTAGTAAGCTCACCTCTGAGTTGCATTTCTTTGCTAAATTCCTTCCACATGGTTGTGTTTTTCAGGAACAGGACTCGGAGAGGATGATTGGCAGTGCTAGAGAGGATGGTGGACTTTACTACTTTAAGGAGGATGTGACTCATGAAGCTGTTTTCGTAGAAAAAAACTCTATGTTTCCTTTTGATTCATGTAACGATGTTATGCTGTGGCATCGTAGGCTAGGCCATCCAAATTTTATTTATCTTCAGAAGTTGTTGCCAAACTTATTTATTAATAAAAGTCCAAGTTTGTTTTCTTGTGATATTTGTCAACTTGCCAAGCATACTCGTGCTCATTATCCTTCTAAAGTTCACCATGACTCTTCCCCATTTTCCTTAATTCATAGTGACATATGGGGTCCAGCCCGTATTAAAATTATTTCAGGTGGGTGTATCTTCTAAAGGATAAGTCCGATGCTGCTCCGTGTTTAAAAAATTTCATGCCATGGTTCAAACCCAATTCCAAGTTGTTATACAAATTCTTCGTACAGATAATGGCAAAGATATTTTAACTCTATTTTTGGAGAATATCTTTCCCAACATGGTATCCTTCACCAAAGCTCGTGTCCTGACACACCCCAACAAAACGGAGTTGCGGAAAGAAAAAACCGACATCTCCTTGAAATTTCTCGAGCTCTTATGTTTACCACGAGTGGTCCTAAATATCTTTGGGGAGAGGCAATTCTCACTGCCTCGTATCTGATAAATCGAATACCATCTCGCATTCTGAAATTTCAGTCTCCTCTTTCTAGTCTTGTTCGTATCTTCCCTTCCTTCTGAGGTGTCTCCTTCTTACCTCTCAAGTTATTTGGTTGCGTTGTATTTGTCCATATTCCCTCCCATCAACGGTCTAAGCTTGATCCTAAGTCTCTCCAGTGTGTCTTTATTGGTTATTCTCCTACTCAACGTGGCTATAAGTGTTATTCACCCTCTCTTCGTAAGGTCTTTGTCTCTATGGATGTCACTTTTTCTGAGAATGACCCTTTCTTCCCCTCGACTTCTCTTCAGGGGGAGTCTATAGGAGTAGATGGAGATCAGTCATGGGAACCTACTGATGCCACAATATTACCTCTACTTTCGGAAACAGGGGGAGCTACAGAATCCTCACCATCAGGAGCCTCCTCAAAATGGGGACAAGTTTATAGCAGGCGAAAGCCTCTTCAAAGTGTGAATAACCCAGAGCCTCTACACTGCCAGGATTCTGAACCATGTTCTAGTTCCAGCACCCCAATACTTGAGTGTCATGGTGAAAATGATCTATACTTGCCCATTGCTCTTAGAAAAGGTACTCGATCTTGTACTACTCATCTTATTTCTAATCATATTTCATATGGAAAGTTGTCCCCAGAGTTTCGTGCTTTCAATACTATGTTGGATAGTACAAAGATACTGAGAAATATACATGAGGCTCTCAATGATCAAAAATGGAAGGATGCTGTCTTTGAAGAAATAAATGCTTTAGAAAGAAATGGAACTTGGGAGATAGTGACCCTACCCAAAGGAAAACAGGCAGTAGGATGCAAATGGGTGTTTACAATAAAATTCAATGCAGATAATAGCATCAACAGATAGAAGGCAAGATTGGTTGCAAAGGATTTCACTCAGACTCATGGGATAGATTATCATGAGACTTTTGCTTCGGTTGCTAAAGTCAACACCATCCGAGTTTTCTTATCTCTTGCTGCCAATCTAGATTGGCCTCTGCAACAGTTAGATGTGAAGAATGCATTCCTAAATGGTGACTTACATGAAGAAGTCTATATGGATCGTCCACCTGGTTTTGAAAAGGGAAATGGATCAGTGTGTAAACTAAAAAAGTCTCTATATGGATTGAAACAGTCTCCCAGAGAATGGTTCGACAAATTCACACAAGCAGTCAAAAGAAGAGGCTTCATTCAAGCACAGACTGATCATACTCTCTTCCACAAACACTCTAAGGATGGTAAAATTGCTATTCTTATTGTATATGTAGATGATATAATTCTTACAGGTGATGATATTGAGGAATTGAACACCTTGAAGAAATTTCTAGCAGCTCAATTTGAACTCAAAGACCTTGGCACTCTCAAATATTTCCTTGGTATGGAAGTTGCTAGGAGCAAAACAGGCATCACTCTAACACAAAAGAAATATGTTCTAGATCTTTTGTTGGAAACAGGAATGTTAGGGTGTAAACCTGCTGAGACACCTGTGGAACCTAATACCAAGTTAGGTATTGAAGATGGGAATGAGGTGGATAAAGAACAATATCAGCGATTGGTTGGTAAACTAATCTACTTATCTCATACGCGTCCTGACACGTCCTGACATTGCCTTTGCGGTGAGTATGATTAGTCAATTCATGCACTCACCCAAGGAGAAGCATCTTAGTGCAGTCTATAGGGTGCTTAGATACCTCAAGAATACTTTAGGAAGAGGATTATTCTTTAAAAAGCAAACAGTGGTTGCAAGAAGTAGTGCTGAAGCAGAATTTTGAGCTTTAGCTCATGGAGTCTGTGAAGGAATCTGGTTGAGAAGACTTCTTCAAGAGTTGAAGATTTCATATTCCCTACCAATAAAACTATATTGTGACAACAAGGCAGCTGTTAGCATTGCACAAAATCCTGTGCATCATGATCGAACAAAGCACGTGGAAGTTGATCGTCACTTCATCAAAGAAAAATTAGATGATGGAAGTGTGCGTTTGATATATGTTCCAACCAAAGAGCAAACGACAGATATCCTTACCAAGGGCCTACACCGTCCAGCATTCGAAGACTTGATTGGCAAGTTGGGAATGATCAATATTTACCTCCCAACTTGAGGGGGTGTGTAGAAAATCAGAATTCAAACATGTTTCCGTTTTTATTTCCTATTAATTAGGATTAGTTATGATTGATTAGGATTGATTATGATTGATTAGAATTGATTGTGATTAGGATTGATTAGTCATCGCTTAGTCATTCTTAGCTATTCGTTCTTGTATAAATACTAACTCATGTAATTTATTCAATATCAATATACAGAAACTTCTTTTCAATAGGATGGTATTAACATTTGTGATATCTAAAAAGCAAGAAATAAACACAAATTTTATCAACATGAGAGGATCTGTGTATTTTTCCCCCATAATATTTGTTTTGGATAGCCGACATGCATAGGCCCAACCACTGGGTCCAGTCAAAAAAGTCTACTTCTAGAAGGCAGCATAGGATTCCTCCTCTTCCCCATGCACATGGCTACCCCTACATACAGGTAGGGGTTCAGCATGCCTCGCCTGAAAAGGCTAGGCTGGCTAGGTTGACTAGAGCTCCCACTCTAAACACCCCCTCTCACATTGAGGAAGAGGTTCTTCTCCTCCATTCAGCTTCATGCGCTGCTACCATGGAGAGCAATCCTATCCATGAAAGAAAATGGCCTTGAAGGCCGATGGCATGTGAGGATGAAAACAAAATTTTTTTCCAAGCGGAATCACACAAGCTAATCAAGATACATGCTTTAAGACAGCATGATGTACCTTGTTCGTGATTCAAAACTCCAAGATGATCAGTGTTAGGTTTGAAGGTTCAACCCTCTAACGTTGATCCACACCACCCTACGTCAAGATGCAAGAACCCTTCTTCAAAAGCCACCAAACAAACACCACAAGGAAGGCACTTTAGGCGTCCCAATAGGAGAAGAAGGAGGCAAGGTTAATGTATTTAGATGAGTGAATTTTTCAGCATGAAAAACTCACAAAGTGGCGCATGGATTCTATGAGAAAAGGCTAGGTAATTTTCGAAAAACCGTAAAGAGAACCTCACAAAAGGAAGCACACTTGGAGATGAGAGAATGATTGAATTGAATCAGATTTTTCTCCCAAAAAGCTGACCTATATATTGCCCAATGGTGGAGGAATAAGTGGAGTTGTTGCAATTCAAATCTAGCCAACAATCTCCTATCATATCCTCATGAGACTAAGTCTATACCTAGTCAAAAATCTGACTTAATAACCATCATATGGCCAGCCATATGGTGCACCCTTATTTAGCCCAAAAAGAGTCCAAATACATTGAGTAGTTGCATTCAAATTTGAACCGACTCACTCACTTATTCTCTCAACCATCCAAATCTGATTGGAGCTTATTGGTTGATCTTATGACAATCATAAGACCCCAAAATCAGCGCCCCAAATCAGCCTTGGATGATGCCCAAAGATCTCCTCTTGATACTTGGGATTTGTTCCAACAAGATCTTATCTTATCCTTTTGTTATGAAACAACTTTTCATAGCCAATTCAAATTCGAATTCATACATTTAAATTCAAACGTTCAAACATTTAAATTCAAAATTCAAATTCAAAATTTAAATTCTAAATTTAAATATTTGATAATTAATTTAACTAATTAAATTAATTAATAATGTCTTGGACCATCCAAGCTCATTACATGTACCATGCGCCCTTTCCCTCTTAGGTGGGCTTCCAAACTTTTTCTTGGGCTAACAACCTTTATTAGGCCCAATACCTTTAATGCTATATTCATCAAGACAATAAGGTGTTAGTGTGTGAGCCATTAGGCCCAACATAGCACTGACATAAATGGGCTAGGGCCCAACAAGCCCACAACCCATTTAATAACAACACAGAGCACTACCAATGCTTTGTTGCCCCAGAGCTAGTCAGGTTAATGACATGATCATCCTATTACATATATTTGGTTACCGTATGTATTTCCTTTCGTCTCGGTTACCTTCCCTTTAAACCTAGGGTGAGGAAATGTATCAACCCTTGCGATTTAGGTAAGCTTTAATTCGAAATAGGGAATCTTCAATTTACTGACTCTAAAGGCATATCATCTCATGATCTCTTTTACTATACAAAGATTCTCGAGTCCTGTAAATGTCATCCCGATTTCCCCAGTTTTCAGATAACCTAATCCCTTACAGAGATTTGATGAATTCCTTCAGCTTATCACCCTAGGCCTGTGCTCTTTCAGTACATGCCAAAAAGTATACCTATAAGTCTCCATGTTTCAGGCAGACGAGGTATACAATCAAAACATGTCTTCTAGAACACAGTCTAGGTGACAACTTATAGTCTAAGGAAAGACATACCCAAATATTAAGAGACTGCTCTAATGATACTTTTGTAAGATTTTCTCATAGAGTCTCTTTGTGGGTCTTTTCAGTGCGAGCTATACCCTTATAGGTCCACCCACGTCTTTAGCTAAGACATCTCCATATTTGTAGCTCATGAGGTCTTTACCTTGTATCCGAATACAAGTAGATAAGTCGTGCTAGTCTTACCCGAGATTACTGATCCCCATTCTTAGTGTCTCTAGACTAGGAACATAAAATTAGGAATAAACATCCGGTATCCTTAAATCCTCATGATCGTGATCTCATCACAGATACTTAAGAGATACCTATTTTATTCCAAGGGGTTTATCCAGTTACTCATATAATATATTAACAATAATATTGAGACAAAATATGAAACAGGATAAAGAGTGCTTATTATTTATTTGCGATAATATAAAAAGGACCACATATGTCCTAATCTAATCAAAAGATTGTCTCTAGGACATCCATATACTAACAAGCTCCCACTTGGCCTAGAGCCAATCTGACCTAAGTCGTATACCTAAAGCATCATAATGACTATCATGTTTTCTCTGAGAAATAGCCTTCGTCAGAGAATCGGCTAGGTTATCATCTGTGGCAACATAATCCATCTTTACATCCATTATATCAATGGTTTCTCTAATCATGTGATATCTGCGGAGCACGTGCTTAGATCTTTGATGAGACCTAGGTTCCTTTGACTGTGCAATGGCTCCTGTGTTGTCGCAAAGCAACTATATGGGCTCATCTACGTTTGGAACCACCCTTAGTTCAGATATGAACTTCTTGATCCACACGGCCTCCTTAGCCGCTTCTGAAGCAGCTATGTATTCAGCTTCTGTCATTGAATCTGCTGTTATCTCCTGGTTAGAACTCTTCCAAGATACTGCCCCACCATTTAAGGTGAATACGAATCCTGACTGTGACTTGCAGTCATCTTTGTCACTCTGAAAGCTGGCATCAGTGAATCCTTTCACTGAAAGCTCATCAACCCCACCATAGACCAAAAACGCATCCTTAGTTCTTCTCAAGTACTTAAGGATGGTCTTGACTGCTGTCCAGTGAAATCTCCAGTGTCTGACTGGTATCTGCTCGTAATGCTCAAAGCATATGAGACATCTGGTCTCGTACATATCATGGCATACATGATGGATCCAATAGCTGAAGCGTATGGAATTCCACTCATGAGATCCTTCTCAGGCTGTGACTTAGGACACATAGCCTTGGAAAGATGTACCCCATGACTGACGGGAAGAAAACCCTTTTTCGACCCTTCCATGCCAAACCTCTTTAGCATCTTGTCAACATACGTGGATTGAGATAAACCCAACAGCCTCTTGGATCTATCTCTATAGATCTTTATACCAAGTATAAAGGTCGCTTCTCCCAAATCCTTCATGGTGAAGCTTTTTGAAAGCCAGTCCTTCGTTGTTTGTAATGTGGGGATGTCATTTCCTATAAGTAATATGTCATCTACATAAAGTACCATGAAAACGACATTACTCCCACTAACCTTCTTGTAAACACAAGGTTCATTCTCGTTCTTGATGAAATCGTTACTCCTAACGACTTCATCAAAACGAATATTCCAACTCCTTGATGCTTGTTTTAGCCCATATATTGACCTTTGAAGTTTGCATACCATATGTTGTTGGCCTTTGGCTTCAAAACCTTCAGGTTGTGTCATGTACACTTCCTCCTTCAAGAATCCATTCAGGAAAGCGGTCTTGACATCCATTTGCCAAATTTTATAGTCGTGATATGCTGCTATGGCAAGCATGATCCTAATAGATTTGATCATGGAAAATGGTGAGAAAGTCTCATCATAGTCAACTCCTTGTCTTTGACGATATCCTTTCGCAACCAACCTAGCTTTGTAGGTTTGAACGTTGCCATTTGCATCAGTCTTTCTTTTAAAGACCCATTTATTACCGATAGGAACTATTCCTTGCGATTTTGGAACCAAGGTCCATACCTTGTTTTGATGCATCGAATCTATTTCAGATTCCATGACTTCAAGCCATTTAGAGGAGTCAACATCCTTGACTGCCTCCTCATAGTTACTAGGTTCATCATCCTCGAGGGTTTGTTGATTCTCAATCATAAACCCATACCTCTCAGGTGGATTGATGACCCTACTAGACCTGAGGAGTTGTGTGTTTACTTCTCCATTGGAGAACGTCGCATGTGGAGCAGACTCGGGTTCCTCAATCTGTTCATGTGGTTCTTGAACTTCTTCAAGATCAATCTTACTCCCACTGGCTCCTTTAGAGATCAAAACATTCTCAAGGAACTCAGCATTCTTGGACACAAACACCTTGTGTTCATCCAAGGAGTAAAAGTAGTATCCCTTAGTACCTTTGGGATACCCCACAAATAGACATTTAGTACTCTTAACACTAAGTTTGTCTGATGCCAACGCTTTGACATATGCTGGCGATCCCCATACCCTGAGGTAACTCAGGTTGGGTCTCATACCATTCCATATCTCATATGGTGTGGTCTGAACAGATTTAGACGGTACCCTATTTAGAAGGTATGCCGTTGTGTCTAAGGCATATCCCCAAAACGATTTTAGAAGTTGAGTCTCACTCATCATAGACCTAACTATGTCTAACAAGGTCCTGTTTCTCCTTTCGGAGACACCATTTTGGTGTGGTGTGTAAGATGCAGTAAGCTGCGAGATAATTCCATTTTCTCTCAGATAATCCTGAAACTCATGGCTCAGATATTCACCACCATGATCTGATCGCAATGTCTTAATCATCTTGCCATGTTGTTTCTCTACTTCATTCTTATACTCTTTGAACTTTTCAAAGGCTACGGATTTATATCTCATTAGGTACACATACCCAAATCTTGATTTATCATCTGTAAAGGTAATGAAATAGAAGTATCCTCCTCTAGCCTTTATAGACATTGGGCCACATACATCACTGTGAATGAGTTCTAATAACTCACTAGCCCTATGACTCTCAAGCCCTGTAAATGTCATCCCAATTTACTGACTCTAAAGGCAGATCATCTCATGATCTCTTTTACTATGCATAGATTCCCGAGTCCCTGTAAATGTCATCCCAATTTCTCCGGTTTACAGATAACCTAATCTCTCACAGAGATTTGACGAATTCCTTCAGCTTATCACCCTAGCCCTGTGCTCTTTTAGGACAAGCCCAACAGTATACCTATGAGTCTTCATGTTTCAGGAAAACGAGGTATACAGTCAAAGCATGCCTTCTAGAACACAGTCTAGGTAATAACTTCTGGTCTAAGGAAAGACATACCTAAATATAAAGAGACTACTCTAATGATACTCTCTG